TCTCCAGTTCTCCTGGAGCAAAGAGGATCTGTTTTCTAGATAACAGTCTAGAGTCTGACTGCCTGGGTTTAAATCCCAATTATCAATAGAAATCTGAAATCGACTGTAGATCAAGTTTATATTTTCTTATTTCTTGATAATTAGCTATAATAAGCCCTGGTTAAAGACTGAAGTAAATGTTACTAGCATCTCTCCCTAATAAATGGGTGCAAGACAATATCAATAGCTCTTATAACTGCTTAACAAATACCTGGTTGCTGCAGATTTCTCCTCCAGTCGTTAATTAGAAAGTTCAATTAAACTTTACAAATATATCCAAAAATGTTTAACATGTACTTTATTTTAAATTTTTTGCAACTCTATTAAATTAATAAACTATAAAAATTGTTGACTTAGAAAAGTAATTCTCAGGTTCATCTGGCATTTTGGCCATGTGAATCTTCCTGGTATCCCCAAAAAGCAAGGTGTTTTCTTTTCCATGTCTCCTAGCTGTTCTCAGCTAAAATCCTGCGGTGGAGGAAGGACAATCCAATTGATAGCTCTTGCCTTGAGAAATTCAGAATCTGACCGGAGGCAGAGCAACATAGAAAATCCCAAGTATATAAAGTCACTCTTCAGAACTTGAGCCTCTTTCAAGAGTTTCTCTTGTTGGGGGTCACCTCCTCTGTCATAAGGAAGGGATGAAAATGGAACCTTCCTCTGGCCATTTACCCTTGTACCTGTCTTCCATTTCTTTCCGTGAAGGTAAACATGGCCTCCCACCTTCAGAAACCGTAGCCATCGTGGAGCACATAAACACCAAGTGTCCTAGCCTGGAGTTTGTGGGGCTGATGACCATAGGAAGCGTTGGACACGATCTTAGTCAAGGACCAAATCCAGACTTCCAGGTACTGAGGGGTTGGGATTGCTCATGTGCTGAAGAGGCAGGGTGCTGGAGTGCTGCTGCAGAGCCGGCTGCAGTGGGGACTGCAGAGACATCAGACACTGCCTGCCGGGTGTTCTCTCCCGCTTCTGAACTCTTCTCAGAAGGAAAAGGGAAGAACAGGTTCCCCAGCCCCACAAACCTTTCCCAACTTAACTTGAAATTGGCTAAAACATAGTCTTTAGAGAATATGAGCTCTTTCTTCCTCTCCAGCGACTAATAGTTTTCTTAAAAGTGGGATAGTTTGCAAAAAACCCTTTCAGTAACTTCTGACAATTTCGACAGGCCTTGAAATCATGAGACATACATAACCATTGTCACAGAAGTTCAGATTCAGCCACTTCGGGGCATCATTAGAGAAGGCAGGAGTAAAACCGGTGTCATCTCTTTCTGTCAGCTGTTATTGTCCCTCCGGGAGGAGCTGTGTAAAAAGCTAAACATCCCTGCTGACCAGGTTGAGCTGAGCATGGGCATGTCCATGGATTTCCAGCACGCGGTGAGTGTCTGCCAGTGCCCTGCCTGCCTCGAGGGGCAGGGGTTGGGGGTCTGAGAGGCTGACGCAAGAGCAGATCTTTGCTGGAGAAGCCTTGGAAATGCCTCGGGGTGGCCGTAGGGCACCCAGTCTCAGGGTTCTCGGCTACTCCAGCATCTTGCAGTTTCCACACCCTTTCTTTTTTGAAATGTGTAGAAATTATAGCCTGACATCTGAATTTTAAAATGAAATAAAATTCCATAAGTATAATCTAAAATAAATTAATTATAAATATAATTCCATAAATTATAAACATAATTCCATAAGTATAATCCAAAGGAAAAATAAGAATTTAAGCTATAATTTTTGGAAAGGCATTTTATTACATCAGTGCATGGGTGTGGCTATATAACAGCAAATCATAATGAAGCAGGCTGAGTCTTCATCTTTTACTTTTGGAGACAGAATCTCACTCTGTTACCCAGGCCAGAGTTCAGTGGCACAATCTCAACTCACTGCAACCTCCACCTCCCACCTCCTGAGGTGATTCTTCTACCTCAGCCTCCCAAGTAGCTGGGATTTCAGGTGCCCACCACCACACCTGGCTAATTTTTAGTAGAAACGAGGTTTCACCATGTTGGCCAGGCTGCCCTCGATTCCTAACCTCAAATGATCCGCCACCTTGACCTCCCAAAGTGCTGGGATTGCAGGCATGAGACACTGCTCCCGGCCGAGGCTTCATCTTATGTGTAGGTTTACCAACAATCTTACATGTATATCAACAGCTGTAAATATAAACTGATATAGGTGTGCTGGAGTGGCAATGCAAATACATGATTTTCTGGAATAGCAAATAACTTGATAAAGTTTCAAAAACCAAAATATAAACTTGCATTCCTGGAAAACTGTATTTATTAACACAGTGCAAAAATACATTGCATTTATAAGTCAAATGGAATTTGGTCAGATAATCATAAGGATATTTTTTTCATCTACCTGACCATGGCACATTGGAAAGGTGGGTGGGCTGTAAGACAACTCTTTGCTGTTTGGCTGCTTTCCACACTGGACGTCTGACATCCTTGACCCCCACCTAGCTGAGTGCCAGCCACACTCCCCAACCACTGGAAACCCAGAGAAACCCCTACTCGTTTTCCATATACACTCTCAGAGGTTGAACTGCCTCTCAGGAGAGCAACTGCCCTGGAGCCATCTTCGGCAGTGTTACTGTTCTTCATAGAAGGCTCCTGAGAGCCAGAATAGGAGCACAGCTTGGGCACTGGCTCCACTTCGTTATTTTAAACCTGGTCCTCGATGCCATCTCTTCTTTCCCAACAGATTGAAGTAGGATCTACGAATGTCCGAATAGGAAGCACCATTTTTGGAGAACGGGATTACTCAAAGAAAGCTACACCGGACAGGTGCGCAGCGGACGTTAAGGCCCCGGCGGAGGTGGCCCAGGAGCACTGAGCCAGGGAATACTGAGAACACTAACTATGCACCAACCTAGATTTTCAGTTTGATATTCCCTGTGTCCCAGCACAGTCCTGCTCTCCTGTGACCTGCGGAGAGCACTAATGATCACGTGTGTTCATGGAAACCATCTGTGCTTAGTCCTTGACATAGGAAGCTCGCTTCAAGCAGCGGCTTTGGATTCAATTTGAGAAATTCAAACGTTTCTGCAGAACAGATACCAAATCAATAGCCAGGAATCACTTTCAATATTGAATTCTGCCCAGGAGCAGGAACTGGTCCATGAATGCCTTTTCCAGGTTAAAATTTGGTCACTGATGCCTACAATAGTAGAAGTCAGAGGGATTCCACTCTTTCATCCCATTTTCATAGGAAATTCCTTATGGTTAACAACTCCCTGCAAACTCCTACTACATCGTCTAAATTTCTGTTCTGTGAGAAGGTGATTTCTGCCCCCAGATTATTCCCTAGCCAGTAGATATGGGAAGATATTCTCGACCCCAGATTATTCCCTAGCCAGTAGATATGGGAAGATATTCTCGACTCTGGAATAGCAGTATAGGTAACTTCAGGAAATGGCTCGGGCCAATTCTCCAAACACAAATTGTTGCTGGCCAGGCATGGTGACTCATGCCTGTAATCTCAGCAGTTTAAGAGGCGGAGGCAGAAGGATCACCTGAGCCTAGGAGTTCAAGACCAGCCTGGGCAACATCAGGAGACCCTGTCTCTACAAAAAATTTAAAAATTAACGGGGCATGGTGGCTGAGGTGGAAGAATCACTTGAGCCCAGGAGTTTAAGGCTGCAGTGAGCTGTGATTGCACCACTGTATTCTAGCCTGGATGACAGAACCCGCCTCAAAAACAGAAGAAAAGAAAAATCTCCCAGTAATCCATCAAGGCTTTGATCTCTTGGGGAGTTCTTCATAGATTCTGCCACATTTCTTAAAGCAACCTTTTAATATGCAGATAATACCTCCCACCTTTTTTAGAGACAGCCTGTCTCTTTAAAAAAAAATTAATTTGGTAATGAGAGCTTGTGTCACTGCCACTCTGTGGTATTCTTGAAATTAAGGGGTAACATAAGCAGGACTTAGGCATTTCTGACATCATCCTGAAGAGACTGGACTTCAAATTTTTCCTCTGGGACCTACAGTGATGAGAATTTAATGTTATCTCTACTATAATCCTCCTTAGGATGATTTTTGTAAATCAAAGACCAGTGAATCTTATTACTCCTAAGAAATGAAAGATTCCTTCAAAGCCTGCTCAGGCACATGGTTTCAACAAAGCCTGCCTTTGACGTTCCTTATCCTGAGGAGCACTTTCCAAGCAAGGTTACAGCTTCCCCACTGTATTACAAGCCAGAATTGTGCAACTCGTCTGGATCATTAATAAAGTAGCAAGATCTTCAGAAAGTTCCCAAACACCATTCTCCAGTAGTCACAGCAGATGGCTTCAGGATGGCTTGTTTTTTATGTTCTAGACGGCTTTTTCTCTTACTTCGTCAAGCCTGTCTTTGATTTTACAAGTAACTTTCAAAACATGATGCTGCTGCTGAATGTACTTTTGTAAACTTAAACATTATGATTTCTGTACTGTTTCAATGAGAGCTACAGTGTGATATTTCAGAGTCTATTAAATAAAAATGTGAGTTTGAATTATACCATCTGTGCCAATTACAAAGCAATTAAAAGATTTATTTTTTATGATCTGGTGTAGTGAATGAATGTAACAGGAGGGGGCATTGGAATCGACAGGAAGCAGCTGTGCCCATGCCTTGGCATCGTGTCAGCCTGGCTTTGGAGGAGGGCTTCCCTAGAGTCACAGACGCAGCCAAAGCTACCCCATGGACAAGAGGGCTTCTGAACTTCTAAGAACAAGAAAAAGGACACTTCAGGAATTACAAAAATAGAGGTTACCCCTTGCTGCAAGGAACTTTTGAATTGCCTCTAGATGGCGACATTGGCTAACCTGAGGGCCAAGCACTGGCGCTCCACTGTCAGCAATTTACCCTGCAAGGGTTACTCAGCCTCATGGAGGCCAGAGGGGACATGACTTTCCCAAGCGATACAGGTGACTTGCAGAGCGTCAGGAGTTCAATACCAGCCAGCCTGGGCAACATGGTGAAATCCTGTCTCTACCAAAAATACCCCCCCAAAAAATTAGCCAGGCATGGTGGCACATGCCTGTGGTCCCAGCTACTCCAGAGGCTGAGGTGAGAGGATCGCTTGAGCCTGGGAGGCAGCAGACACAGTGCACTGAGATCATACCACTGCACTCCAGCGTGGATGACAAGGTGAGACCCCGTCTCAAAACAAAACAAACAAAAAAACCTGGCAAATAAGGAGGAAAGTCAGGGAAGGCTCAATTAGATCTAGATAAGGGAAGGACACCAAAGTGTGTCCAAAGTGTCCCCAGCAGAACGGGATCTTCTGCTGAGAGAAAATTGAGCCAGGTTGTGAGTTTGTCTTTTGTTACACATGATAGGCGGCAGGTTGGGTTTCTTCTAGATTTTCCATTTTGGATGGCTTGCTCTCTCGGATTGGGCCCACCCGTGCAGCCTCGCAGTCTCTGAGGATGCTGGGTCCTTGCCTGCCCTGAAGCCAGCCTCAGAAGGCTTGAGATGCCCCAAAGCCTCCCAATAGTCCATCAAGACTTTGATCTCTTAGGGAGCTCCTCACAGATTCTATCACAGTTCTTTTGTTGTTGTTGCTGTTGTTGCCGAGGCTGGAGTGCAGTGGCACCATCTCAACTCACCACAACCTCCGCCTCCCAGGTTCAAGCGATTCTCCTGCCTTAGCCTCCCGAGAAGCTGGGATTACAGGCATGCACCGCCACACTCAGCTAATTTTGCATTTTTAGTAGAGAGAGTTTTTCCATGTTGGTCAGGCTGGTCTCGAGCTCCCTACCTCAGGTGATCCACCTGCCTCGGCCTCTCAAAGTGCTGGGATTACAGGCATGAGCCACCATACCTAGCGGTCTATCACAGTTCTTAAAGCAACCTCTTAATACTCAAATTGTACCCCCCTTTTGTTCAGCATTGGTGACATATGCAGCACTATTCTCTATATTCTCTTATTTCACAGTCACAACAGCTGGGAGTCTAGCGTAGGCTGATAGGCAATGTGTCTTTGTGGACGGGGTACTGGAGCCCAGAGAAGGTTCCGTGTTCTCCTTGTCTGAGGTCAGGGTGAGTTGATGGCAGGGCAAGAAATAAACTCAGGACTTGACTTTCTGGCCCAGAACGTGGTCACTACTCCACACTGGTATCTTCTATCTCTACCTTTAATAATTGATAAGTGTGCCTGGTGCAGTGGTTCACACCTGTAATCCCAGAACTTCAGGAGGTGGAGGCAGGCAGATCATGAGGTCAGGAGTTCAAGACCAGCCTGTCCAACATGGTAAAACTGCATCTCTACTAAAAATACAAAAATTAGCTGGGCGTGGTGATGCACATTTGTAATCCTAGCTACTCTGGAGGCTGGAGAATTGCTTGAACCCAGGAGGCAGAGGTTGCAGTGAGCCGAGATAGAGCCACTGCACTCCAGTCTAGGTGACAGAGCAAGACTCCATCTCAAAAAAACAAAAAATTGATAAGTAGCATATTCTTAGATGTGCAGCTTTCATTTAAATGAGCCTTATTACCATAAAATTGGTGTGTGTTTCTATTCCAGTGGAATAGTTGAGAATTTATGCATCTTAATATAGAACAAACTTTGAAACCACAGGCAGTGGGGGTGAGAAGGAAGGAGAGTGTGAAACCCAGCCATGAGTGGGACTGGCCTCCCCTCTTGTCATCCCATCTCCCTCCCAAGCACATTCCTCCCAAGTCACACTAACCTCACAGGCTGTGGGGCTCAGAGTGTGCAAGCCTTGCCCTCCCCCTGAAGCTGGAGCAGCAGCGAATTCTGTTCCCTAAGGCTAGACACAGGAATGAGGTCAGACGGGACATTCTTAAAATCCAGGACATCTTCGTCTTTCAGAAAAGAAGTGGCCCTGTGCATCCCACCCAAGCTTTGAAGGAGGAAGGACTCGCCTAATAGTTCCTGGCTGCAGTAGGAATGGAGAGCCTTCAGTGGCACAAGGGGAAGGCATTTCTCTGGGAACTGTGACTGTCTTGACCATGAAATCAGTTGAATGCTATTACATCAGCCTCATGACTAAGGACAAAAGAATCCAAACTGTCTACCAAAATGATTTAACTAGTCTGTCCTCCCCTCAAGGAATACACAGGTAAAGAAAAGGGCTTCCTTTTCCACTCAGTTTGCACCAACGTGTGTAAACTATGGTGTGACTAAGCAGCTCCTTACAAGATAAGGGTGCTTAAGCTTAAGTTCCTCTTCTGTGATCACGTTGAGGCCTCAAGGGACTCGGAGCTGACACTTTTTTCCTGTGAAGTCCAGCACAGATCAGCCGAAATGGCACACGGTGGGGACGGGGAGGGGGGCTTTGGGCACTTTTCTTGTATTTAAAATAAATTTAGAAGCCCACATTCCCGAGCCTTGAGATCACAGGAAGCAGAGGCCACTCTGCCTGCCTGAGTGCCTTCTTGAATGGTCCCAACCGCACCAGCTGCCCAGAGACACCGCGCGCTAGCTCCGTGCTATTCCAGGCTGCCCAGAGACACCGCGCGCTAGCTCCGTGCTATTCCAGGCTGCCCAGAGACNACACCGCGCGCTAGCTCCGTGCTATTCCAGGCTGCCCAGAGACACCGCGCGCTAGCTCCGTGCTATTCCAGGCTGCCCAGAGACACCGCGCGCTATTCCAGGCTAGCGTCTCAGCACCCGCCCTCCCAGCAGCCATGCGGCTCTCCAGCCTCAGAGCTAAGCCTGACCCAGCTGCCAATCTCCAAAATAAAAGCAATGTGTGACCTTATTCACCAGATGTACCGAAGAAACAAGCACAAACGAGGGCCAACTTTGAAGCCAAAAAGGGAAGATGAGAAGTGGGAGAGAGAGAGAAAGAGGAGGGAAAAAGAAACTTGGCTAGACATGAAAGGTGTCTTGTCTGTCTGTTCCCTATTAGGCGCAATTCTCTTGCAATCTGCAGGCTCCACATAATTCTCTTGACCAGAAACTCTCTGGAGAGATAGTGTCAGAAGAAAAACAAACAGAATAGCATCTTCTGACAGCAAAGTCACTTAAAAACCTATTTGGGAGGGAAGAAGAGAGATGTCAGCACCTCGGGGGAGGGTCCTTCTTCACAGCAGGCCACATGTGGAGTTACATTTGCCCTGGGATTGGACAAGGACAGGCAGGGGCCCAGGAGAGGGTAGACATGCGAGGGCAAGGCAGTCCCAGGAAGCAAAGGCCCAAGGCCTCTACCCTCCCAGCCCCTCTGATGCCCAAGATCTACCTCTCTTAGATGGTGAATTGCCACAGTAAATTGCATCAGTGCTTGGCTTTGCACAGCCCCATGGTACACTGAGAGGAATCCAGAATTACCTTAGAAGAAAAGGGGTTCCTTGGCTGGACGTGGTGGCCCATGCCTGTAATCCCCTTGTTTTGGGAGGCTGAGGCAGGAAGATTGCTTGAGGCCAGGAGTTCAAGACCAGCCTGGGAAACGTAGCAAGACCCTGTCTACAAACAATATAAAAATTAGCTGGATATGATGGTGCACACCTGTAGTCCCAGTGACTCGGGAGGCTGGGGTGGAAGGATAGCTTGAGCACAGGAGATTGAGGCTGCAGTGACTGTGATTACACCAGCTGTGATGCACTCCAGCCTGGGTGACAGAGGGAGACTGTCTCTCAAAAAAGAAAAAAAAGGTGTTTCACTTTGTCAAAACTCCACCTTCCTACTGCTGCCGGCCACCAGCCAGAGGCTGAGAAGTCAGCTATTGCTGTAAGCCTGTGAAGCAGCAGCCAGCTCCCCAGGCAGCAAAGGCCTCTTCTCCCCAGCCCCGTTGACCTGCCTTTGAGCTAAGCAGTCTAGTCCTGGGGAAGCCAGGGCCCAGCCCCCACCCCTCAGGAGCCCAGTGAGGAAGGTTCTGGAGGAGTGGGGGAGCAGGGCAGGAGAGGGCGGCCTTCTGTGCTCAAGTTTCTGGGGCAGGCATCCTGTTGTAGGAGAAAACTTTTTTTTTAAGGAAGAAAAACTAATCAGAAGAAAGAAGCAAGAGATTTTCCCTGCCTTTCGGACTTGTTTATTACCAAGATATCTGATTTCAGCAAAGGAAACCGGCACTGGAGCAAGGTTTTTATTGGCCGTGAGCAACAGGAATTCAGGGTTTGCCTTTGATTTGGCTTCCCTGGAACACGAGGCACTAAGGGTGCTCGCTGCTTTGATGGAGCAGCCCAGGACTTTGGGGCCCCTCAAATTCCCTGTTTTCTGCAGCATTGACTCCAAGTCCCCTTGGAGGCAGAGGGTGGAGCGAGCGGTCAGAGTGGAAGGCGGCCTCATAAATGTTTCGGAGAAATCAAAATAGAGGACAGTAGTTGCAAAGTTCTGAAACTAGAGCCTGAGCGAGGGCCCCGGCCCGCCCCCCTTGCCTAGGACTGAGGGGCTGGATGAGGCCAGGTCTGGTTTGCATGAAAGCGCCCGGTTCCAGACTTGTCTCTGACCCACGGAGCTAGGCAAGCTGTAGTCGCGGGGCTGAGGCCTGATGGTTTCAATGTGTGGGGAGGATAAAGCCAGAGATTTGCAGGGTCCTCTGCCAGCAGCGATCTTCAGCTGGGAGGGGCAGGGGCTCTGGGAGGGGTGAGCAGCTGGGC